TATTGCAATAAAACGGCAATTTCATACTTTAACCCCTAATATTAAATGCATTGGTTTTATTATTTAAAAATGTATGTGTATTTGCATTTATTTATCAATTTTTATCTATTGCTTAGTAATCTTCACACACCATCATCTTTTTCCTGTGCAATACATAATTACTTCCATCCAAAGGTTGTCTGGCAGAAATTGCTTAACTCGATAAGACCGCCCATTGCACCACCACTTATTTATAATTTAATTGTATTGTATTTGTTTCCTTTTTTGGTGTACAATAAAGAATTGTATTGTACTTATATAAGTGAAAAAATTCTTTAAAAAAAAATTCTTTAAACTGTCAAATGACAGTAATTGTTTCAGATGGATGTCGTATGGAGGAGTAGACTCACAGGGCTTTCACAGTGAATAGTTTTATACCAAATTCCTTTCACTGCAGAAATCTCACCAAAGATCTTACTCCACATATCCATATTTAGGTTTCTAACATATGGGATGATTTCGGTAGAGGCAGGACTTAAAAGAAACCATGTTAGGTTAGGACATGAACTAACCAAACTAGTTGAGCGAGAGCAGTAGGCATTCCGCAGTAAGCGGACGTCGAGTGCCACGACCGACATTTCTGATTAATTTTCACAATAACTGTGGATCATAGTACTGTTTTCATAGTGCCCCATTTCCTGCTGTCTAGTTTCTGTGCTGCGGAAAGTTAGGCAATAAACTGAAGCATAAGGACATATTTGGTGCTTTCCAATGTCACATGTTTTCAGTAATGAGGTATCGACTACTTTATAGATGATAGTGTGATACTTAGCACAATAAAAACATTAATTATTAATATATCTACCTGGTAGTCTTCACTTCCTGGACATCCTGTTACATCCACCTCCAAGTCCTCAGGTACTTCAGAGCTCGTACTGCTCCCTGGTACGGCCAAATTCGACGTACTGTTGACACTAAGTTTCCTCTTCGAACCGCCGTTAGAAAGTTTTTGAAGACGCTCTATTTCCAGAGATAAATGAGATTCGAGTTCACCATGTCGTATCGTACAACTGCACACTGGACAATTTGGTAACTCCTGGACTTTTTTACGCGTTCTTACGGAATTTAGAATAACGTTCTCATTGTATATGTTGTTGTAACTAGTTGAAGGGCTGTTCAGGTTATTTAATGAGTTAGACGGCTGCTCCATGTTATTGTACATCAGTATAGGTAGCATTTCAAATCTTGTTTATGTTACACTTGGGACAAAAATCTGTTTACATCGCACTTTTCGTAACATAAAAATTGAAATTAACACTTTTAAATTGTTTATAGAACTTCGATTTATCGGAGTTAACTCATCTTGTTTGCATTTTTGGCGTATTTATTGTAATTTACACGTTAAAATTAAATCAAAACAATAATAACAAGACGATCCGCCTAAGCGATTTTTTTTTTCAATGAAAGTGACATAATTTTGCTTCATCCATAGCGTTTTGTTGCTCGTATAAATTGTTTGCAGTAAACATTTGATTAAAATGTTTAATATTTCTATATCAAAAAATAGATAAAGTCAATTTTAATATATTTTACATATTTTGTACATTTTATTGAACCAGATAATTATTTTACCTAATTTTCGAAATATAAATATAAAAAAATTGGTTTCTCTACAATCTTTGCGTAATTCACAGATAGATAAGTTGCATCAATGTAACGCATTAAAAATATGGCGTTTGAGCGGGAATTTCAAATGTTTAAATGTAAGGGGATTCGCTCTGGACCTTTTGGAGGGAAAAGTGTCGTTTTTATTTTGACTTTCAATTATTTTGTGAAATCTAGTTTAAAGTGGAATAGGATAGTGCTATTGTGCCTTAATCGAAGATTAAAACGCGAAATTATACGAATCTCGAACTAAAATACCCGTATCGGCCCGTTTTAAGGAATCCCGAGTCAATCCAAGCACGCCGCCTCAAATTGCCTATCCTCTTTGTGGCGGCCATATTTACGGAAACACATTTAAACTTCATGTTTAGGCTGATGGCTTTGCCAATTCCTTAATAAACTAAAAAAAATATATCATTAATTTCCCTTTCGGACTACTGGTTCCACTAGTAGGATTTTGAACTATTCATGTCTCCATTGATGCTGTTAAGATTCGTGAATACTTTTGTATCCATCGCTGTGCTAGATCGCAGAGTGGACAAATCATTAGAAAATGTTTGAAAGTGAGTGAGCTTCCCATTATCCGTGGCGTCTTTTGCTATGGCGTCAATAGTCTAGTTACTTACTATACCTGAGTGGCCTAGGATCCAGGCCAGAGAAAGTCAAAATCCTTGGCGGATGCACATGTATAACACATTTCTAATTTACTCGTTGAATAACAGAACCTACAGAAACCGGTAGAATTTTGTTGGTGAGAGGTAAAGGAGTTTAAGTCTATATTTTGGAATTTACATGTTATTACAAACATAGTTTTAGAATGCTAAAAACTTAGAATAATAACGCATAGAAACCTAGCCCGCACACGCTAAGTGAGGCAAATTGAAGCGCTCCCAAAGAGCCTACACGAGCGAGCGGGCCTTCAGTGCTCAAGGTCAACTTGCACCGCGAACAGCTCAAGAATTTTATCTAAAAATAACGAAATGTGTTGTAAATGAGTGTAAAAATACGTCAGACAAACATAAAATAGACACTAACATCACATTCCACAAGGAAGTAACGCGTTTCAACTTGTATTTTTATATAAATATTCACTAAAACCGAAAATTAACCTACTACTAAAACTAGCCTACATGAATTTGATTTTTGCCTCACTTGTGACAGTTCGATTGATATGAAACCGCTCATTTAGTGCAACATTGACTTAATTGCAATTTTGACATAATTGAATTAAGACTTAATTAATTACATATTAACATCCTTTATCCAAATTTGCCAAAATTACAATTACATCAATGTAGCACCAAATAAGCGAAACTATCATTCTATGCGTTATTATTCTAAGGCTAAAAATCATTGTCTGTTATTTAACATATTTTATGACTTCATAGCTTCATTCTCTTTAAACGCTCTGTAGTAAAAATTATTATTTGACACTTGGTTCTTTACCTCTCACCTACAGAATTACTAACCGGAATATTCAATACTTGCGAAGTCCCAGAAGGGAACCATCATTAAGTAAAAAGATCGTTTTCGTGACTGGTATTATTTTACGTTATATGCCATGAGTATGTAGGGTAAACAAGGTGGAATGTTTATTTATTACTGAAGCTCAGCACTTTTTGATGAGCCAATTCCTGCCAGGGCCAGCTCGTGCCAGTCGTTCGTTGGAAGCTCCGATATCGCGCAGGGGACCGCAGTGAGGCCTCCCATTTAAGAGTCGTGAGTCTAGAACACGATTCCTTAAAATCTTCACGATAGAAATAAACACAAACTTACCTCGAAATTTAAGAAAACCTCTGCATAGAATAGGTAATTTACTTATACCAATTTTTTTTATCAACTGTACTAAATTGAACAAGTATACGATACGAGACCAAGAGCGTCTCGACAACGATGTGCTGATTACGAACGTCGTTGAGGGAGCCGGTGAAAGTGTGTTGCACATCGTAGCGACTATCGGTACCAAGCTCGGTGTGAAGCTGGACGAGCGGGACATCGTCTGCGCTGAGCGTCTGGGTGTGCGGCGCGAGGGCGGTCGGCCAAGACCCATAGTAGTGCGTCTGGCTCGGCGGGTGACCCGTAGCGAGTTGTTGCGGGCGGCGCGCGTGCGCCGGGGGGCCACCACGGCCGACTGTGGGCTTGCAGGCGAAGCACGCCCGTTCTACGTCAATGAGCGGCTCACGCGCCGAAACCAGGAGCTCTTCCAAAAAGTCCGAGACCGATGCCGGCTTGCCTCGTGGAGGTTCGTATGGACCCGGGACGGGCGTATCTTTGTTCGACGTGCTGAGGGCGAACACTCGCACCGCGTACGCCGGGAGACTGATATACAAAATATTTTTCGCGAACAGGTTGTTGGTGTTCAGAATGCGCAATAAAATCTTTTGTGTTGCCGTTACGTATTGTCCATGTTCTGTTATATTGTATGTTTTCATGTTTTTTTACAATTGTAGGTACTTTGTGTGGTACATGGGTGCGTTGGCAAATGATGAGGTCTGTAACAAAACACAATCACACATTAACATGCTATTTTTATTATTATTTACTTTTAATTTTATTGTATTCAGCCACGCGGTGGTAAAATATCACACACCTTTATTTATCATAGTTATTTATGTATTTTACTTACACAATGGATGCTGCCCTTTTCAGTGTTACAATTATTTTCCTTATAGCACTTTAAAATGACGCCTTCCAGGATGCTTTCAGTTGGACTATGGAATGCTGGTTCTTTGGGAACTGGACATGATGAATTCACAGCCTCCATGTGTAACTTTGATGCAGATATCGTCGCAATAAACGAGACTTGGTTGCGGGAGGGTGAAACGGGTCGTGCTCCGGCGGTGCCAGGCTACCGACTGAGGCACGTGACGCGGCCACTTGAGCTGCGCTCGCGCGGAGGCGGCGTAGGATTTTACATTCGCCGAGGTATTGCTGCGAGAACCATGCCTCACCCTCCCTCACTCCGTGTTGAACAAATGTGGCTTTCGTCTGTTGTGTGCGGGGCCAGGATAATTATTGGCACAGCCTACCGTCCGCCGTGGTCGGATGCCGACTTGTTTTTCGACACACTGACTGACACAGTCTCGTCTTTTGGAAACTATGATCGATTAATAATCTTAGGTGATTTTAACATTGACTTTATGAATACGACCGACAGGTATCATAAATGTTTAACCGAATTTTTGAATTTATTTTCACTACAACAAATAGTTAAGGAGCCGACACACTATACTGACCATAGTCAGACCACGATCGACCTAGTATGCAGTAATACAAAAATACATAGCGTACACGTAAACTACATACCTGATCTTGGACGACACGCATTTATTACTGTTCAACTTGACATTAGGAAAATCAAGCCCTCACCTCGTGTTTTGACTTTTAGACCTCTGACTAGTATCGATATCCCATTATTTGAGAATGACTTGGCATCTATCGACTGGGACTCTATTAGGTACTTAGACAATGTGGATGACATGATTCGACTATTTACTGACTACTTGACGCAGCTATTTGACAAACATGCCCCACTCAAGACCATGGTGGTCAAAGAGGCGCCGAAACCATGGCTCACTGACACGGTGAGGCTAATGATGCGACTACGTGATAGAGCGCATGCACGGTATTTGAATACCGGACTTGATGCTCATAAAAAATATTATAAACAGCTTAAACATGTAGTCATTGAAGCCTTGTTCTGTGAGAAACGCACTTACTTTGATCATTTCATCAATAACAACTTGGGTACCAACTCGAAAACTTTATGGAAAAATTTGAAACGTGTTCTTGTACCTAACAGACACGACTTTGACTTGCCCGCCCACTTATCTAACCCTGATGCTATAAATGACCATTTTTTAAATGTTCCTGGTAGCAATGACGTGCCAATATCAGACCTGACATATTACGAAAACAATCGACATGGACCTGACACCTTTTGCACTGCGACAACTACAACGACTGAAGTGATGAGTATATTGACTCAAATAAAAACCAAAGCAAAAGGTATTGACCAAATGACCATTGACATGTTACTATTGACTCTTCCGACAACGCTTGAGATATTAACGGTCATGGTTAATAAGAGCATCGAGACCAGCACTTTTCCGACTGACTGGAAAACAGCTAAGGTAGTCCCTCTGCCAAAGAAGCATAATCCTTCCACTTTGTCCGAGCTCCGTCCTATCAGCATTCTTCCGTGCATGTCCAAGATAATAGAAAGGGTTGTGTGTAAACAGCTTTCGAAATACCTGGAGAGGACCAATATCCTTCCAGCATTCCAGTCTGGTTTTCGAAAGGGTCGAGGCACAGCAACAGCTCTGCTGGACGTGGTCGACAATATTTTGGCAGCACAGGATGTTGGGAAAAGCACGTTTCTGGTGTTATTGGACTTCTCCAGAGCTTTCGAAAGTTTGAGCATACCACTTCTATTGTCCAAGATGTCGTATTATGGATTTGACACTAAAACCATCGAATGGTTTCATAGCTATCTTTCGGGTCGGGCTCAAATAGTTGAACTGCATACGGTTAACGGTACCACTAAGTATTCCTCTCTCCGCCCTGTAACTAGAGGTGTGCCTCAGGGTTCCATTTTAGGTCCGTTACTATTTATATTATACAGTGCCGATATCGTTACTAGTATAAGAAACTGTAGCTACCACCTGTATGCGGACGATTTGCAACTATACATATCGGGTAAGCCATCTGATACTATTGCTTCAGTCAATGACATCAATGCTGATCTAGATCGTTTAGCGGCGTGGTCTGATAGGAACTGTCTAGTACTGAATCCGAGTAAGTCTAAGTACATGGTGCTTGGAACAAAGGGTCAAATCCATAATACACTGGAAGCCCTTGCTTCCAGAAATATTGCGGTTATGGGTGAACCAATGGAACGGGTCGACAGGGTCAGAAACCTCGGAGTACTGATGGACAGTGAACTTCGTTTTGAGGAGCACATCCTCAATGTGACCGGTAACTGTTTTTATCGACTCAAATTGTTATATGGTATTCGTGATTACCTTAGCGTTGATTTGCGTGTACACCTTTGTGAATCACTGATATTGTCGCGGTTAAACTATTGTGATGTAGTATATAGTAATTGTATTTTTAGTAGGTCTAAGAAGTTGATACAACGTGTACAAAACGCATGCACACGCTTTTGCTTTCGGGTGCCTCCTAGATCCCATATCACCCCGTTTTTGAATGCTGCAAGCCTTTTAAATATGACTGCTCGTCGGCAGCTACACCTCTCTATGTTGCTGTTCGGTGTAGTGAGAACCGAGACACCTGAGTATCTCTATCGCAAACTTCGTTGGTCTCAAAACTGTTTTAAATACAAGGTTCGGGCTATCGTTCCTGCTCACCGCACAGCAGCTTTCAGAGGAAGTTTCAGGTTTGCGTCATCCAAGTGCTGGAATGATCTACCCCCTCCTCTTCATGACACTTCTAGTAGGAATGCTTTTAAGCGCAAGCTTAAGGCTCTCCTGCTGGAAAATCAAAAGGGATTGTATTAACTTTTTCCAGCACCTATTTATTTATGCTTTTTATACACATTTGTTATATAATATATTAGTTGCTTGATGTAGGTATAGTGTATACGTATTAATTATTATAATGTATTTTCATAGTTATATATAAATTATTTGGAAGTATTTAAACATACACAACACACACACCCACACACACACACACACACACACACACACACATCTGTTAGAGTTTTAATATGTACGTATATATAATTATTTTACTGTTATATTCAAGTACCAAAATATGCTTGCATATGTTGTTCCGTGACCTCACTTAGGGTCTTAACTGAAAATCAGTGCTGGGAACGCGTTGCGTTTTCCAGCAAATACTGAGTTTGTGACCCTTTTGTTACCGCGGCTGGCACCACACAAGGTATCTCAATACTTAGTCTTCTTTTTATTATTTGTGTGAATAGTTCATGTTTTAATTTTATCTAATTTTTGTATATACATTTTTATTTTGTGTTTGTTTGTGTTTTTGTTTCGTAATTATATATTTGTTTTACGTTGAATGTTTTGATCGTGTTTTGTTTTAGTTCTGTTTTGTTCTGTTTTCTCTCTTTTTTGTCTTTTGTCTTCTGTGGTGTCATTGTGGTAAACAAATAAATGTATTTTCTTTCTTTCTTTCTTTCTTTAATTTTACAAATGGTTTTAATTTCGTTTGTAAAAAAAAATAATTCTGAAATAAACCAATGTTCCTGCCACTCGATCCAAGCAAATTGAACCGTATAATATTGTCGTGTAATCGATATTGTATATAAAAATATACAATATCGATTCTAAGGAATTGAAGTCTTTCCTTAGAAGGAAGATGAAAAAAAAATCAGAACGTGCGTAGAAAATAAAAAACATTTTTTATATTTAAACATTTATATTTATTTATTTACAGGTACAAGAGAGCACTCACCTCGACATCAACTTACGTCAAAAATTAACAACAAGATTTCGTGCTACCTTTTTATCTACACTTTTTCTATCCATCTTTTTAAATAGGAAATGAAACTATTTTTCTGGATTTAAATCGCGTACCTATATTTGTTTTTTCAAACAAATCAACGTTTCGTAATTTTCTCTGATGTAAAATCCCAAGTAGACATAAGACTGCAATAACTAATTAATGTTTTAATATTCTAATTTTCATTATTAATTAATAAAATTCATATTATTGAAATAAAATAATTTGTAAAACATAATATAGCGTAAATTATATTGTTTCCTTGTAAAAATTAAAAATAAGGTATTTAATTAATAACTTTTGTAACTATAGTGAAAAAATAGGGCGGTTTGCATTAATATTAGACATGACCATGGGACCTGTAAAGGGCCCGAAACGTTGGTTTGTTTGAAATATACGTCATTTAAATCCGGAAATATAGTTTCATTTTCTGTGTAACAATCGCGAAAACCTAAGAACATCTGTTTAAAGTTATAAAAAATAGTAAGTACTGGCGCCGAATTCATTACAAGTTTTGTCCGCTGTACCCGTATAACGTCTGACTGTGCCAATAAGGGGCTCACCACATTTACTCACACGGAATGACTTTGAGCCGGTTAGAAAAACCGTTACGTCCAAATGCGAAAAAGGGATCATCTTAGAGTACAATCGATAACTTCCCACGTAAGTTCTTGTAAGTCAAAACACCATTTTATACTTTTTAAGTCAATTATATACTTTTTATACATATTGCAGGTACCATATTTAAAAGTAATGAAAACTGTGTTATGGTTACATTGACTTACAATTATATGGACGTAGGGTCCGCGCTAAAAAGTGTCCGAACTTATAGGGCGTTAAAATCGTATACAGAGCGTCATTCACGCTTTAGTCTTCGTTTGTTCAACTGACAGCGAAGCAAGCAAAATTAGACAGTACTGCGATGACATTACAATTTAAATTAAACGTTTTAGCTTTTTCATATTCCTTCACATGTCACTATGTTTAAATAGGTTGACTTGGGACATTTTTTCGTGGTTTTTGTATTAGACCCGTCGTCCATTTATTTGTAAGTCAATGTATGGTTACAATTTACGTGAGAGGTACCTATTAGGACGAAAGGGTGAACCGTGTCGGTAACGCACGTGTCATCTGTATAGTGCAAACAACCACCTAGTTTAAGTACTTTTACGCATTGTCATTTAATATTTATTGTTACTTAACTATATTTAAAAACAAAAATAAATTTAGGCACTTACTTGCAATTCAACTCATCCGTAGAACAAAGATCTACGTGCAAGACTACTTGTTCTTAGGACATAGGACATTTCGTTCGATCTTTTTCGCTGTGAATGTCAAATCGACTGTTGTTCGATTTTAAACGAAACGAAATAAGATATATAAATTGTCAAAACACCTTTACATAGGCCTTAACTTAAATTTCGAAATTATTCTCGTAACTTAACGTACTTATTTACTTAACGTACTTTTCGCTATATAATCACAACGGACTCTGTTCTTCGGATGAGTCG